AAACCCTATGCCCCTTCTAAAAGCTTTCATTCATATAACACGTAGTACACATATACACCCATCCAAAAACCCCCTAAACAAGTTACCTCGTATGGTGAAGCCATAGGCAGGACATCACCGTGATATCATCGGCATGTGGTGCGGCCAGGGGTCCATGTGGTCACACTTACAGCCATGTGAAGCCCATTGGCCATTTGATATTAACATGAACCTTGACCCACCAATTATTCCTAATTCGAAATTTTCCAAAAGTACAAAAAATTACTTATCAACTTATTTTATCATTTTGAATTGGTTTTAGCTATCAAAAATTTTGGAGGGAAATTAGCTATCAAAGTTTGACATTTTATAATGTCGAGGCATTCCACTTGGCCTACCCTGGAACCCACAACCATTTTCTTGAATCAGCCCAATAAAACCATTACTCACAGTCTTCCTCAGGGGCTCATGCTTTGCCAATCAAAGCCAACCAATAGATTCTGGAATTCCAAATTCTCAATGGATTATAGATCACCCTTAACAACAAGTATACCAAGCACTATGCATAAAGCATAAACCATGATCCATAAATTATGAACCATAGGTGCAGGGTTTCTTGTCTCATCACATGCGCACAAGCCTTAAGTGGTAGATCACCTAGAAAGGGAGGTATCCTGCATCCCCAAATGTGGCTTTTATATGAACATGTCCTAGGTTAGTCAAAGATCGAGGCTTTGGCCCCCTTACCATCACACATGAGATATCCTCCTTTCCCGCTCAATCAAGATATTCTATCTTAAAACCAATCACATCCAAACTCCTACACTAGGATAAGCCTCCAATTTCGGTAAATAAGGGCTTATACCGACTTCAAAAGAGATCACCATCAACCTCACAGTACCCCGCTAGCCCATAGACAAAAACTGTGGTCAAGATTTTATGAATCAATCACCACTTCCAAGCCCCAAAGTGCGTAGGTTGGGATCATGGATACATATCAGAAGATCTAGGTATCAAGCGCATGGCCTTTTGCCCCCAAATCACGATCTTCACACTGAAAATCAAAGACCATGGTCGGCATTCATGGCCTTCAAAACAACCGATTTTTAGTCTTGTTTTCTTAATGAAAATAGGAAAATAATGTTTACATGTTGATGACCAAGAGTGGAGTAGCGTGTAATGGCATAAAAGCCTCACTATTATAAGTAAATCATGACCAAAATGTGGTAGAGACTACATGCTTCTTGTAGACCTTGGTCAAAAATTGCCCAAGGGCATTTTCATCCATAGATCATGAGATATACATCTTTTTATTGAAAAGAGAAGCGATGTATGTATATATCTTGAAGCCCACAGAGGACCAATGTTCCAAAAAATGTTAGGCTGCGTCTAGGCAGCCAGGGGGGTCCAGGCCACCCTGGTAACCGCCCAGGTTTTTGGCGACCCAAGTAGAATAACCGGGGTAGGAGGTGTTCAAAAAATAGTTATGGGTCCAAATTGTGCATAAAAATGCATGTTCAGGCTTTTTTAATACATTTTTTATGTTCAATCAATCTAAACTCCAAAGACAAACCAAAGTATTTGAGATTTGAATAATTAGCTTATAATACATTCATAAAATTAGGAAAATACAATCCAACATTCAAATTCAATACTAGACATAACACAATCCGTAGTCCATAACTCCATCCATACACTCCATCATCCAGATTTGGACAATTAGCTAATAATACATTCAGAAAAATAGGAAAATACAATCCAACATTCAAATTCAGTACTAGACATAACACATAGTCCGTAGTCCATAACTTCATCCAAACACTCCATAGTCCATAACATTACCATGATTACCATCCCAGTCCGTAGTCCATACTCCATAGTCCACATTCATAAGAGGAAGGAAAAAGTAAAGAATTAATCGATTGATCTAACAGAAATGCAAAAAATACACCTTTTTTCGTTTTTTATCACTCTAAAGTGTAAAAAAGGGAGTTTAGGTCACATAGAAACCTAAACCCCCTTTTCCCCCCCTTATTTAGGAGGGAAAGGACGAAAATGCCCCTGGTGGGCGGCACGGTCCCTAGGCGCCCACCCAAGGCTAAGCGATGGGCGCTTGCCTAAGTCCCCTGGCTGGCGCCCAGAAGGGCCGACTGGGTGCGAGGTGGGCCGCTTTTTTAATCTATGTAGAGGACACATGTTCTTATGTGATTGGATATTGCTATAAGGAATGTCTCATACCCCAATAACCACTCTCTCTTTAGAACTCATGTTGGGTTGTAAATAAATAAGAGAGGAACGTGACAAAGAGAGAGAGCGTTGAAACAAAGTGGGGAGGCTCTGATGCATTCAATACTTGAAGCTCTGAGAAGGCGAGCCATCATGCAAACCAAGCCTAAGGAACGCTTTTTGGAGAGAAGAAAGTCACTTTTCGAATCAAAAGGAGTATTAGATTATAATGGAAGAAGACGAAGCAAGACCCACAAGAAAAAAGCAGGTAAAACGAAGTCGTGTGTGTCAAAAGCTTGTAATGTTCTATTTCCTTTGAAACCTATGTAATACTCTTCATAACCATTAAACAGAGGCATTTAATATGCAGAAAGTGGTGCGAACATCAATGAAGAAAAACACCTGTGGGTTCCTAGAACTCCTCGCCACAGAAATTAACCTATGGGTTGTGTGTGCCTCGTACGCCTTATGCCATTGGAGTCAATGAACATATAAATGGCACACATGAACACTCACCAAACCCAAAACCATAGAAAGAACTTCACACATTTGTCAGCAAGAACTTCTTACGAGCAATGAAGCTAATCACAATAATCCAGCCTATCTGCCATTAGGAAGAATGTAGGAAATGAATTCATAAGATCAACTTATAATAAAGTAGGTCACTAGAAAATTAGAAAGAATTGGACTCATCATATTGACCACACTAAAGAGTGGGATTAACCACAAGAAGACCCTCACTCGAATGGGATTAACCAGAAGAAGATCCTCGCTCAAACAGCAAACACAACCATTATCAATTATAGAAATAAAATAACAGAAATTAACCCAATGTGCCATTCATATCGAATGGATGAAAAATGTAGCTCTTTAAGAGGAGGCATACATGTGTCTAGCTCCAGTAATTAGTTGTCTGATTAGACTAAGTTTTAGAGGTTGAGATCTGATTTGAAGGTGTTGTGTGGGAACAAACAAGCATTTCGAGCATGGTTCCTTTATTTCTGGTGAAGTGTGATAAGCTAAATATCAGAAAGAAAATAATAGACACTCCTTTTAAGGTGAATATAAAATGTGCTATATTGAAGTGTCTGACCATCTGATATTTACAACTGTTCAGATGATTATATCTTAAAATCGCCAAAACCTAATATTACACATGTGAAACATATCAAAATACTGCTTTCAATTGAAAGGAAGGGAAGGGAAGAATTGGGCCACGGTTGGCTTCTAGGGTTAAACAGGCGTTGTTCAGCATTTATAACATCCATTGGTTATCACTCTGTAGTCAGTTTCAAGGGATGGGACTTTCACTCTACATTACACCTTTTAGTAACATCAAATTATTCGTGCCAATACAAAGATAGCTGGAAAAACCCCTGAAAGAAAGACCTTATAGGCCCGGCAAACCAGTTAGAGCCCTTTTCTGCACTAGCAAACAGTTTATAAAAACCTCAGAAACCCCCTCAAACAACAAACTATCACGCCAAAATGAATGTCGAAATGGATAGTTGATGTACAGTTCATTTCTTTCGAGTATATAACAATGATGTACGAAAGGCAAAATGGTGTGCTATTACTAGAAACACCTGTGGAAACGGAGCAGCCAGACAGCCAGATTTCCACAGGAATGGACAAGGAATCACCAAAGGAACACTAGTTTTGGAAATGGGAAAGCCATACATCTACAACATTCCTGTATTGGTTCATACATATGGTCTGTTGACATGAATTTAATCTCTGAACAGAATTTAATCTTTAATTTAAATTAAGAAAGTTTAGAAATTATGCCTCAGCCTCACTATTTTAGCTGGCATTTTTCTTTTTAGGTAAATAAATAATAAAAGCAGTGCATGTGGAGGGTTTCGAACCCTCACCAGCTGGCAGTTGTTGATTATCACTCAAGACATAACTAAAGCTCAAAAATTAGAATAATCAATCCAATGTCATTTTTCAGCTTAGATTAAAATATAATAATCAAACATTATGCATGACTTTTAACCAGTGTTTCAAAAAGCGCTAGGCAGGTCCTGGGCAACCTGAGGGGTCCAGGCCGCCCAATGCCTAGGCGGGCGCCCAGAACCTGGGAAGCCCAGTCGAATCCAAAAAGGATGCCCTTTTAAATAAAAAAAAAGATATATAGTATAAAAAACAAAAATTAGGTATTTAGGGCACTTACTTTGAGTTTGATTCCTCAATCTTCAAACTTTCTCCTCAAAGATGCTTCTAAGAACTCAAAATCTTCTAAAAAACCCCCCAATAGATTTATAAAACATCAAAAATTAAATCTAATATCAATGGGTGATGTTTTGATCAATTTTTGTCAACTTTGAGAAACCCTTCAATCCTAAAAAAATCATCAAAAACTAATTTTTTGGAGGCGTTCTCTCTCTAAAATGAGCTCCAATAAGTTTTATGTTTCAAATGAATTTAAAACTATCCTTCTAACCCTTAATATTTTAAAAAAAAAACAATACGAAAAAAAAAAATTTCCTCCTCTGGTCGAGGCGCCCGCCTAGGCAGGTTCCGTACCGCTTAGGCGGGGCGCAGGCCTTGGGCGGCTGCCCTGGGCTAAGCGTTGGGCGCCCGCCTAGGCCTGGGCGATGCGCCCAGGCCTTCTTGGCCAGCTAGGCGCTGGGCGGTCCGCATTTTGAATCATTGCTTTTAACGATAAAAAGAAGATATAGGAAGCAAACTTTAGTAGCCCACATCAAATGTTTTTTATACTAGAACCCCCATCAAGAGATAAAGTTGATGTCTGACTCCATGCTCATCATCGATAAGTCAATGTCACTTACTGAATATGTCAGAAGCGTTTCTAAAAGTGAATCTGAATCCTCATCACCTGCATACATCAATACTTAACTTTATGTTGCAGCATATTTAAGGAAAAACAAAACCAATGCAATAATTAGGGTAAAAGTGCCATTGATATGCTTACCATGTTCCTTAATGAGTTTGTCCACCAATTCTGGTGAGAAACCCATGTCTACAAAATGGGACTTCCTAGGGTCCGATGTGCTTGCCTCGAACTATGACAAAAGAAGAGCACACAAAACAAGTAATGCTTACAATCATAATCAGATATACTTGTAACAGTTTCAGGATACGTCATAAGATCGTTTGGAAATAACACATGATTTCCTTGTCCATATCCAAAAACAAAAGTGATCTACATGAAAACTTAAGAGCTAAAAGGACATAATAGATATACAGGGCCATATATTGAAGACCACTAGTGTAGCAGCTAAGAACCACAAGTAAAATACAGCTTGAAAATGCCATGGAGAAAGGACAGGTTTCTCAAAAAAAAAAAGGATTTTCTTGATCCGTCCATCCATATCAAAAACTTCAAAAAAAGAAATTGCTAAATAGCAATGTGACAATGTTGATTACAATTTATAAAACAAACCCCAAATGTCATCACCACATGATGACAAGGACCATGTAGTTTTTTCCTTACATAAGTCAAATTAACATAAAACAAGATGCACTACTTCATCACATGTGCTCTTCAACTTGTTCTCACAATATTCTGCGAGGACTAAAACTATCACTAGGCTAACACCCACAGGCCTATCCTATTCTATCTGCCATAACTCAGGAAGCGGTTAAATATGGCAATGTCCATGTACAATATGAAGAGTGAAATAAATAGAAGTGGTCATCTCTAGTTGTATCAAATCATAATGAAGCAAATAATAACTTAATGATGTCATGCAGTGTTGCTATGAGATACCCTAGACTAAAATAATGACACCAGGGATTAAAAGATGGTTTGTCAGTTCTCAACTTAAATAATAGTGAAACCACAAGCAGGCAAATGGTTAAAGATTGATCTGAAAAACAGGTCTACAAGGTATATGGGGCACTTGCAGGGAATGAGCAGACGTGTGCACCAAAGATTCGAAATGTATAATTGTCAATCCCCGAGACCTGTACAAATGACGTGGTGCAGCAAAATCCAAAGATAATATAATAGACATTCTATGGCTCACCATGTTGACCACCAACACATGTCAAACACTTCAACTCTTTTGACACCACAAAACACTTGTCAATATTAGAATATAGTTTAATATATTGTAGAAACTGGACTGACTGTTTCTCTCAAAACAACTGGTCTGGCAGTGAAATGATCGAGTGCCACTGTTGCAAACTGCCTCAATGCCACTGTTGAACAATGCCTAGAACACACTGATCAAAACCACACAATGGATTCACACTTTTAGGAGCTGCAGCCCCATGAATGTGGTGATCGCGTAGCCTTAAGACTGCCTACTATTGTCCATTGCTCAAAAAACCGGACCGCCCAGCACGTAGGTGATCCAGAATGCCTGGGCGCATTGCCCAGGCCTAGGAGGCCACCGCCCAGTTTGGTTTTAGGTTCATTTGAAACCTAAACCCACAAGAACCCTTGTTACAGAGAAATAAACCTCCAGAAACTACATTTCATTGGATCGAATCATAGAAAGTGTTTCTCAAAGTTTGGAGTTCGAGCAACCAAAGTAAGTGCATTTTTTAGATTGCTTATTTTATTTTGAGATGTCTTCTTCAGGAGTTAATCGGAGTGGAGATCCGAGTTGGAAATATAAATACAACCCGAATCCATATGATAAAAATTGCGTTGGATGCAATTTTTGTGAAAAAGATATAAAAAGAGGCATAAACCGGTTTAAGAAACATCTTGCCGGGGTATTAAAGGGGATGTTACCTCTTGTAAAATGTTCCTAAAGCTATCAGAGAGGAGATTAAGCAATTTATAAGTTATGCAAAACAAAAACAAGAACAAAATCCTTGTCATAGATCTAGTTCTATTTCTGGTACTTCTAAAAGAAGTGATCCAGGTTGGAAGTATGGGTACAACACAAAACCAAATGATAAAAATTGTATAAAGTGTAATTTTTGTGGAAAAAATACCAATGGGGGTATTAGCCGATGCAAAAAACACCTTGCTGATGTTAGAGATAATGTTGCTTCTTGTACAAAGGTTCCTGAAGCAGTTCAGGATGAGATTAGATATTTTCTGAATTTTGAAAAACCAGAAAGGATGAAAATAGGCCTTATTCTATGGAAGTATCTTCTCTAGGTTCTAGTCAGAGTGTGGTGATCCGAGTTGGAAGCATGGTTATAACCCGAATCTAAGTGATAAAAATCGTATTAAATGTAATTATTGTGGAAAGGATACTAATGGGGGCATTCACCGGTTTAAAAAACACCTTGCCGGTATTAAAGGGGATGTTGCCCTTGTAAAAATGTTCTTGAGGCTATCAAGGAGGAAATCATACAATTTTTTAGTTCAGAGAAGCACAAAGAAAAGGGTAGAGCAGCCAAGACTCCTAGGACCTCATCTGCACAGACTGCACATACTAGTAAGAGGAAAGTAGAAGAAGAGGAGGAGGAAGAGGCAGATTCAAAAGAAACAAAGGAGGATAAGCGTTATATTGAAGAGACAGATGCCTCTGATGATGATGGCATTGACTCTGATGCCCTAGTGATATTCCCTATGATGATGATGATGATGACGATTAAAGACTCTTGCCTCTTGGTCCTAAGTGTTGAGTGTTGAGTCTATTAACTGTTGTGTTGAGTCATGAGTGTTGACTTTTGTTAGACTGTATATTTTCTAAATTTCTGTATATTTCGGTTGTTTTGAGTATTAACTTTTATATCCTACACTTGTATGGTTTTACAGTTACTGTTCTAACAATATGGATTATCAAAATTCTCTTCTCGACATCTTTTTTTTTTTTTCAACTTGGAATATGGTATATTGGTAATTTGGTATGGTTTTTACTTTTTTTCAGCTGGGCAGCCACCCAGGTTTTGGGCGCCCGCCTAGGACCCGCCTAACGCTTTTTGATACACTGTTATTGTCCTTCTTTACAAACTGGTCTGCTTGTGATAGAGTGGTCTGGGGCAAATCCCACTGGTGCTTTCATGGTTGCCTCTCTCTACAAAGCCCTTAACCCTTATATCTCGAACATGCCGTCCACCCACAACAAAGCATGGCTCACACAAAACCCCCCGAAAGTCCAAACCTCACCTGGCTCGTAATCCCCCACAGAACCTTAACTTTGGACCACCTAAAGAGAAAAGGTTACAGCATTGCAAACCACTGCTCTCTTTGTGGGGAAGACAAAGAAACACATAGCTACCTGTTTCTTCATGGTACCTATGCTTCGACTATTTGGCCTAAACATCTGCAAGACTTCAAGTGCCAATGGGTCACCCTCACCTCCATTGAATTTCTGTTTTTAGCCTACTTCTTATTCTTTGGAGAGCCTCTATTTTAGCCACCCTTTGGGCAACTTGCAGGGAGAAAGTCTCAGATCTTTCAAGATACAAAAGCACAGAGCCACTGCAGGGGATGCTAGATACCTCACAATTTTCTGGTCCAGCAACTTTAAAGAACTCAGAGATTTCTCAAAAGCCAATTCCAAATCAAATTGGCTCAATCTTCTCCATTCCAAACCACCAAGACCTCATGGTCTTCCGCCTAGATAGCTCCAATCGATGGGGTTATCGAGCTCAATATGGATGGGTGTTCCTTGGGAAACGCTTGAGGTCCTTTTAGAAACTATCAAAGCAAAATTCTCTCATCTTTGTCCTCCCACATTCAGAAATGGAGACAACCTGAGCCGAAGCCAAAGCAATCCTTGAAGGACTCAAAATATTTAACTCAGACTGTGGTGATCAACTCCTTGTACATGGAGACATAAAATGTCATCTTGTGTGTTTCAGGGGAATCTTAATGCCCTAGACTAACTCATATTTTTTATCACAGTTTCATTAATGCAAACCACTACGACTCACCTTCTTCCTTACATTTTTTTTTTCTTGTCACGGGGGGAAGGCAAATTCAGCAGCCGATGCACTAGCCGAAATGGCTCAAATGGAGAAGTGTAGACACTGATCACTAGCTTTGCACCTTTATGCTTTGCTCTTCCTTTCCTTTCTCCCCATAGCTGTCATTCTAACTCTCTACTTCTCCCTCTCTCTACCCCACTTGTCATTTCAATTTTGAGTTATGGCCAATGATACATCCGACATGTGAGCTGCCTTCATCCAACATCTTTTGGGTTTCTCTTAAACTTATATATTACTTGTTTAATATATTATCACCAGTTATCAAAGAAATATATATAGTGTAACAAATTGAAATTATATAATTATTTCTTTTGAAACTGAACAAATTATATGATTATTTCAGAGTTCATTAATGTCATAGTATCTGGTTGAACCATATTTAAATAAAGTGTTACTTAAAAGAAAAAGAAAATCCTAGTAATATCCATAAAAACAATAAACCAAACCTCAGTAATTTCAGGATAAAGTTCATAAGTACACTTGTTAAAAATATATTTAGAACTTTGTAAGAATTCAACAAAAGTAGCAATATTACAAATTCGCTATTAATTCTCAAATCTCTAAAAAAAATTTAATTAATAAGAGCATGGTTTTGTTATGTTCATTTTATATGTCAGCTTGTTGATAACTCTACGGTTGGTGTCTTGAATATCCACACTCGTGCAAAACCCAGACAATCCGTTAACATAGGGGAGAGTTTAGACCAAGCTAAGGGTCACTGAGCATGGTTTTTGCTAAAGGAGTCAAAGACTGCAGAAGAAACAGAATCTCATTTCAAAAAGTGTAGCGAAAGACAATCTCATTTCAGGAAATCGAAGCTGAGTGTAATGCATACTGATTGTGGGGATTTTTCTTTTGTAGCATACGCCAGCCTTGTAATCATATCAGCTTTCCTTTGTTTGCTTGTTAGAATTGTACTGCTTATGCCATTTGCGATTTCTCCACTACTGATTTTCAAGATTCCCCTTCCACTAGATGTTATTGTCTTGGGCAACCTTTAGGGAATCTGCTCATGGGTTTCTAATCATATACTCTACTTTGGGTAATTTTCTTGCATTTATAAACGTGACATTCGTTTTACACTCTCACATTATGGTGCTCTCAATTTTGACTGATTATTTAAAGCAGACAAGTTATAAGTATCATTTTGTTTCTTGCTCTCTTTCCTATCATTATAAGGATCCATTTGCCATTGGCCTAAAGCTAGACTTAGATAACAGGCTAATATCACCACTTTAGATGGACAGCAAAGCAGAGCAGGAAGCAACATAGTTCACTATATGCAATGCTGTCTCAAATATATGGTTTGAACCTAAACATTGTTTTCTAAAATTGCTTTTAACAAAAAATGCATGGGACACATTTTTGATAGAAGATGAGGGACGGATAATTTTTAGTTTCTTGGGTTTAAATGATAGTTGAATTCACTTCTGTTAACTAAGAATTTAAATAGGTTTTCCCTCCACTTTTTAGATGTGCTATACATCAAGTAAATGTTCACATTGTTAAATAGAAAGGAAAGGAGAATACAAAGATTAAGATGCTTGAGTCACTTATCAAGTGAAAAGGAAGTCAGAGAGCATGACAATCACATAGGAGCAAAAAAGGATTATATACAAAGAGACCATTTATCTTTTGTACATGGAGGTCATAATCATTCTTGTTCTTTAAATTTCAAAATAAGTGATTGTAAGAGTGTCATTGAATAGACAGGAAATTCCAAAAAAGAAATTCTTGAGCTTCGTGCCTCACCCTGAGCCATCCAATTAGACATTTAATGAGTGAGAATGATTGTGACCTCTCTGTACAAAAGATAAATGGTCTCTTTGTAGATAATCTCGAGCAAAAACAAAGCAACCACTATACATAAACACTAGGAAAAGTATATAGTGAGACCATTTACTTTTACTCTAAGGTGGTCACAATTAATCTTAACTATTGGATGTGACATTGGGTAGCTGCATTAATTTTATTGACTAAGTTCAAAATTCAAAAGAATTTTTCTTGAAATTTGTGAGACACCCAAGCGATCAGATTTTACATCAAATATTTATACGTAATTATGACCACCTTGTACCAAAGATAATGGTCTGATTGTATATAATCCAAACACTACAGCATTTCTTTTCCTCACTTTTAAGTGTAACAAACAATTAAAAAGAGAAAAGCACAAAAAACTGTGGACCTCTCCTATATATTAATGTATTAATCTACAAGGGCATTTTATGAACTATTGTCCAACACCTCTTGAAACTTAGGGGTAAGATGGTCATTTTTAAAAATAAACATAGTGGACTTCCGGTCATTTCCAATAAAAGATTGGAGCTTACCAGTCCCCTTCCTTTTGAAAATTGAGGGAATTCATCAGAGAAACACTTCATCCACTAAACAAAACAAAGTAAACAAAAGAAAATAACCACAACCAACCATGCATCCCCAAGTAGTATGTTTTAGGTAAAGATAGACAATAATACTTTGGGGAAACAACATCGTTAATAAATATGGGAGAAAAGGTAAATCGTCAAGAAAATTTACGTTCTCGGACACCTGGTTAGGGTTAGGGTTAGGGTTAGGGTTATATACAACCGAGGCTGAAAATGATTCCTCAGAATCGGAGGTGGAGCAATCTACAATCACTTTCTTCTGCAAAAGATTTAACAAAATGTTGAGTTAGCTTTCGAAATTTCTAAGGAATGGTGGTAAACATTAATGAAATCAAGAAAGCGAAGCCCATTTCAATGAATCTAGAGAGAGAGTCATATTTGCATGACTGGAAGACAAAATTGCCTAGTTTGGAGAGCGAGAGAGAGAGAGAGACTATCACAGAAGGGAAGCCCTGGAGAAAGAAAGAGAGAAAAGGGGGAAGGCCGAGTAGGGTAGAAGATAGAAAGGGAGAGGGGACCTCAGGCAATGTACCTGCATGATAGACAATACAAGAGAGAGAAAGAGAGTTTGTCGAAGTAAGAGAAAGTGTCAAGCAGAGAGAGAGAGCAGCAACATCAAGTTGTATGAGAGAGAACCTAGAGAGAGAAACTTGAAGAGAGCGAGAGGAGGACTGAGAAGAAATTGCATGCAAGAACTCACCATTTTTTAGAAGAAGGATGAGACGAAGAAGAGAGAGAGAGAGAGCGCCGGAGTTAATGGTGGGAGCTGGAGCTCCCCGCCACCGGCAGTTTGGTCGCAGAGATAAATTAAAACCAATTTTTTTTTCGCAGTGCCTCAAGCGGCAAAATAGAGGGTGCAGTACCAAAGTGTGCCCTAATATTCCACAGACAAAAAGTATACAATAAGACCATTTACTTTTCCCTTTACCTTTTTTTTGGACGCAGTTAGCATGAAGTAGACCATTTACTTTTCCCTTTACCTTTTTTTTGGACGCAGTTAGCATGAAGTGTAGACTTGGCAATAAATATATTTTTTAATATAATTTAATTTTAAGTTTTTTAAAATATATAATTTTTAATATAGAGATCATGAATATAAAAAATAAATAAATTTTTAAAAATTAAAAATAATAATTATATTAAAAAAATATTTAGATTGCTAGCCACAATTGTTTTTAGCAGTGTTTTAAAAAACTCCGAGTCGAACCGGACTCGCCCGGTTCGACTCGGAAATCGTGAAAAGGGGACCGGATCGCCTAAAAAATCGGAAATCGTCCGGTTCTAGAGAGAACCGGACGATTTTGTACAGTGAATCGCCGATTCACTGTACGGAATCGGCGAGTCCGAACAGTGAATCGGCGAGTCCATACGGAATTTTTTTTTTTTTTTTGTAATCCATGATAGATTTTTTTGTAATACTTGATCGATTTTTTTGTAATCCATGATCGAATTGTTTTTGTTTTTTTGTAATCCATGATCGAATTTTTTCGTTTTTTGTAACCCATAATAGAATTTTTTGTAATCCATGATCGAAATGTTTGTTTTCTTTTCTTGTAATCCATGATCGATTTTTTTGTTTTTTTTTTTTTTTGTAACCCATGATAGAATTTTTTGTAATCCACGATCTAATGTTTTGTAATACATGATCGAAATGTTTGTTTTTTTTTGTAATCCATGATCGAAATGTTTGTTTTTTTTTTGTAATCCATGATTGAATTTTTTGTTTTTTGCTTTTTTTGTAACCCATGATAGAGTTTTTTGTAATCCATGATTGAATTTTTTGTAATCCATGATCGAA